CATCTGGGCCTGGTGATTTATCAGTTTTCAAGTTGTCTATCAGTCGTAGGACCTCCTCTCTCATCACCTCAATCTGACTCAGGTCTTTCAACACCCTTCCCAAAATCAGTGGTTCTTGAGTGGGCAAGCACTTCTCATCTTCCACAGTGAAGACAGAGACAAAAAATGCATTCAGCTTCTCAGACATTTCCCTATCATCCTTCAGTACTCCTTTTACCCCTTGGTCACCCAAGGGCCCCACTGCCTCCCTGGCTTGTTTCCTGCTTCTAATGTATTTGAACAAAGTTTTGTTGTTGTTCTTTATGTTTTTTGCTATATTCTCCTCATATTCCCTTTTTGCCTGCCTGATCACAGACTTGCATTTTATTTCCCTTTTATCAACCTCACCGAGACTAGCTTTCCACTGCTAAGGAATCCTTCTTACCTTTTACAGCTTCCATTACTTTGCTTGTTAACCATGCACACTTTTTTCTATACCTATTTGTGCCTTTCCTAACCTGCGGTATATATTTTTTCTGAGCTTCTAGGATTGTAGTTTTAAATAGTCTCCAAGCTTCCCCAAGGGTTTTGACCCTTTCTTCTGCACATGTCCCCTCATATTTATTTATTTATATATTCAACTTCTATACCGCTCCTTCCCGTAGGCTCGGAGCGGTTTACAATCAATTTATACCTATCTAGGGCCACATGTTATGGGGGGGGGGGTGTGACTGCCTACCGGTACCCAGGCAGCAAGGCTCTCTTGTTGTTGCTCTCTTTTTCTCGGCTTCATTTATCCATGGAGGGCTCCTTCCCCATCCATCTTTCTGGCGGCGGCGGCCGGTGTTGGTCTTATTTTTGTAGCAGCTCCTCCGGGTCGGGTCCTTGTGGTGCGCGGCTGTGATGATCGTAGCTTCAGCATTTGTCCCACTGGCTCCGCCGCACTTTCGTCATTACACCTCCACTCCTTCCAGTCAGTCTCTGCCCGGATTCAGCTGCTGCTCGGCGCCGGATATTCGCCGTCGTCACTGCTTGTCGCTCGCTGCTTGTCATTTATCGCCACCGCTCATCGCCACCACTCATTGCCACACCACCGCTTGCTGGAACTTCTGCCACACTTCTGCCGCACACTGCCCCATAGGGCCCCATTTATCTACTTGCAGAGCTTTCGAACCGCTGGGTGGGCGGGCATCAGAGAAGTTACCCCTTTTAAAGTTAAAAGTCGTTGTGCCCTTTTTGGGCAACTCCCTATTTATATAAAAGTTGAACTCAATCACATTATGGTCCTTGTTCCCAAGCGGTGCAGTCACTTTTACATTTCTCACCAGGTCTTGGGTGTTACTTAGAACCAAATCCAGGATTGCCTCTCCCCTGGTAGGTTCTATGACCATTTGCTCCATAGCACAGTCATTGAGAGTGTCTTGAAACTCAATTTCTTTTTTGCGACTTGAACACATATTGACCCAGTCAATGTGTGAGTAGTTAAAACCACCCACTACGACACAGTTATTTCATCTAGCCACTATCTTTAATTCATTCATCATTTTATAATCCTCTTCCATCTTTTGATCTGGTGGGCGATAACAAACTCCCAGTGTTAAGCTTCCTTTTGGGCCCACTATTTCAGCCCATAGCATTTCCAGAAGCGAATCCAATTCACTTACCCTCTCAATCTTACTGGACTGTATACCCTCTCTGACATACAGAGCCACCCCACCTCCAACCCCTCTCCCGCTATCGTTCCGATATAATTTATAACCAGGAATCACCATATCCCACTGATTTTCCTCATCCCACCAAGTTTCTGAAATACCGATAATGTCTATTTCCCCCCTAACACCAAGCATTCCAAATGCTCGATTTTTCCTCAGACACTTCTAGCATTTGTCTACCTGCCTAAGGATCAAATCACCAACTACCAAGAGCCCCTCCTTCCTCCCTGCCAAGGGATGGCTCCTTGGTGCGAAAGGATACCCATTCACCAGTTGAAGAAGAGGTCCCTTCTAAGGGCACATTCCCCTTATCTGCAGCGCAGTGCCCTGTATCCTCTTGACCCTCATGCTCCCTGACAGTGCCATATTCAGAGTGGGACATATCTAACAAGTCCCCGAGAGTCTTCTCCATGCACCTCACTGACTGTCTCTGCTTCTCAAGATCAGCCACTTTGGCCTCAAGGGAGCAAATTTGTTCCCTGAGAATCAGGAGCTCCTTGCACCGGGCACACACCCAAGACTTCTGCCCAATGGGCAGATGTCATACATGTGACACTCCGTGCAAAACACTGGATAGCCCCCAACCCCCTGCTGGGATTCTGACTTCATAATTGCTCTTAAAATAATAATTATATATAATCCCCCTTTTAAAACTCTTTGTATTTATGTGGGAACCCAAGGAGGTTCCAAGGAGGCCCTGCCTTTCTGGCTCTTCCTGGACTTCCAGGAGCTATTCAAATTCACCCAGGCACTCAATTACAGTCAAACAATGACCCTTTCTCACCCTATCTCAAGCAGCCAGGACTCTGCAGCAACTCAAAACTCACCCACACATTCCCCCCACACAGTACCCTCTCAGCTAAATTACCTTAGCTGAAAGCAAATAAAAACACTCACCCCTCTAGCATCTCTATCTCCTGCTCCTTCTCAGAGCTCAGCTGGGTCAGCTCTGTCTCTGGCGATGCATGCTGTTGTAGCTGTGCATGTAATAAACATTATGGGTATGATTCTCAGATGATGAGTAAATGTAGCAAAATGGTCTTGGCTGACCAAGCATTAATTTAAAATAGTTTTGTTTGTTATTTTCCCATCAGTTTTTGGACCATGTGCTACTTGAGGTTGCATTGCATACATTTAGATTGTGAGCTTCTCATGCCAGGGACCTGCCTTCTGTTCTGTGAAGTGCAGTGCTCATTAGTGTACTAGTAACACTTATAGGGCTGTGGTGGCTCAGTGGTTAAGACACTGAACTGCAGACTGGAAGGTCAGTAGTTCAGCATTTCAAGACCCGAGTGCTGCATGATGGAGTGAGCTCCCGTCTCTAGCCCCAGCTCCTGCCAACCTAGCAGTTCGAAAGCAAGAAATTGCAAGTAGATAAATAGGTACTGCTTTGGTGGGAAGGTAACAGCGGTCTGTACACCTCAGCGTCTAGTCATTCTGGCCACGACTATGGAATCATCTTTGAACAGTGCTGACTCTTCGGCTTGGAAACAGAGATGAGCACCGCACACTAGAGTCGGAATCAACTGGCTTTCGAGCAAGGGGACCCTTACCTTAACACCTGCACTCTTTTGGTTTGGATGGCATCTTTTAAAAAAATGGAGAGTGCCACTACATCACAAGCAAGGGGCAGAGCAGTCCTGGTTGAAATCCCCACTCAGCCATGGAACTTGCTGGGCTAGATGCTCTTTCTTCACCTGGCCCGCCTCGTAGCCCTTTGTGAGGGTGAAATGGAGGAGGGGAGACTAAGATGTGACACGCCGATCTCTCTGGACGGCAACGTGGGAAGGAGGAGGGCTGGTCCGTTGTGCATAAATGCTTTTTGGGTCTCTGTCAGTGTAACTGAACTCACCATCCCAGAGCTTTAGCGTAGGGCTGTGTCAGTGAGCCCTTCCTCCGACCCTCCTCCCCACGGGAGATGCTGGCTGGCTCAAGCAGCTCTGTCTAGCCAAGGACTCGCCATCCCCTGCTGCTTTGTTTCCATGGCTTAAAGAACAGCAAGTCCTGTCAAAGTCTGGCAGAGGCTTAGCTGATCTCCTTGGGGGGGGGGGAGGCGCTGCTGAATTAGCAGCTGCAACCAGCATGTGGCTGCTCTGGACAACAGGGGGGCTTTGGCACATTTTGTGCCGTTCAGCAGATTCCAGTGCCCCGAGGGTTTCCTGACTTCAAAACCATGTGGTTGACTTCAAGGATGACTTTGAAGGGTTGGAGCAGAAGATTCACAGCACAGTCCAGATCGTGTGACCCACCCCCTTCTGCCAGTCTGCAAGGTCACCTGTGTGGGGTGGGGAACTCGGGTTGAAGAGAAATGGCCATACAGGTGCAACGGCAAGTGCACTGCTTTCTGCCATATGTCTGGATCCTCTGGTTATGTGGCAGGGCACATGTGCAGTCCCAGGATGCCAGCTTCTGCCAGCACCGCTTTTGTATGCCTTGGAGGACACGATGCGGAAGCCACTCTGTTAACACTTGAGACCTGCTTCCACCCTGTGAGTTGGGAGTGCCTGCAGCCCAGGCGACACGCAGTGCTTGGAAATATCTGATCAGTATTCTAGTGGACTCCAGATTACAGATCTCCTGACAACTTGTAGTGTTTAGACTTAAGAGAGTTCATCTTTATGGTGCAGCCTTTAGGCAGTGTCTAAGGGGTAGAGAACTCCTAAAACACCTCTCTCTCTCTGTGTGTCTCTCTCTGTGCGTGTGTGTGTGTGTGTGCACGTGGTTGAACAAAGGCAGAGACGGTGAAAGTAGGTGTCCTACCTTCTGTCGCGTAAGATCCTGTGCCCCTTCTCCAGTTCTAATCGGCATCGTTCTGATCCTTGCAAGAAAGCAATATGTCGGTTGCTGGTGGTTATATGGCTCATTACAGCTGGCTGGGTTTTATCTTGCAGGTAACCAATGAAATTACACCTGTGCTGTCCTATTCATACATTTTTGTGCTGGTGCCCATCTTCCTGCTGACGGACTACCTGCGGTACAAGCCAGTGCTGGTGCTGCAGAGCCTGAGCCACATCTCCATCTGGCTGCTCCTGATCTTTGGCACCGGCATCCTCGCCATGCAGTTCATGGAGTTCTTCTATGGCATCACCATGGCCGCGCGGGTGGCCTACTCCTCCTACATCTTCTCCCTGGTCACCCCTTCACACTATCAGCGCATGGCCAGCTATTCGCGCACCTCTGTTCTCATGGGAGTCTTCACCAGCTCTGTGCTGGGACAGCTCTGTGTCACATTTGGAGGCAGCACGTTCATGACCCTGAATTATATCTCTCTGGGGTTCATGTGCTTTGGATTGGTCCTGACTCTCTTCCTGGAACGCCCCAAGCGCAGCCTCTTCTTCAACAGGAGTGAGCCCGTGTGCAACGGCACCTCACCCACGGAGCTGGACAAAATGAATGCTGGGGAGCTACCGTGGTACAAGGCGCCCAGCTGGCAGGACCTGGTCTTCATCCGGATGCTGAAGGAGCTGGCGGCCATCGCACGGTTGCCGCAGCTCAGACTTTGGTCCTTCTGGTGGATATTTAATTCTGCCGGCTACTACCTGATGCTGTACTATGTTCAGATTTTATGGAATGAGGTTTATCCCACCAGGGATAACAGCAGGGTCTACAATGGAGGTGTGGAAGCGGCTTCTACACTTCTCGGTATATATAATTTATTTACTTATTATTCAACTGATACCCCACCCTCCCTGCACTCACGGGCTCAGGGCTTCTTACATGCATTCAAACATTTTACAAATATATAAGTAGCAATTAAAATCCAATAAAATCCTCGTAGAGCAATATAGATCTTCTCTCTCCCTGATCTTTGTGCTGGATGTACTTCTTTGTAATGCCCTGAGCACTAGATGAGAGGGAGCTGTAGCAAGCTGGCCTCACCCACAGTCCTAAGTATGTCCACCCAAAGGCAAGTTCCTCTGAAATCCATGGGTGTGAGCTGTGTCTTCCGATGGCCTTGACCACACATCAAAAGACAGAGCAGCAGCTACTTGGAAGTAGTCCCTGTTGCTGAGGCAGCTGAAGAATGTGCTGCCATGACTGTGGAAGTGGTTCGATAACTGTGGCCATGCCTTTGGGCACATGGATCAAAATGTGGCCTCAGTGGTGGCTGTCCTTGCATAGTGAGCAGGTTTTTAGTCATGGTTTGTGTGTGAAAACAGAGGGGCTGTTTCACCAATATGATTCCTGCCATCTGCACAGTCCCTTCCCCAGGTATGTTGTAAGGCTGATGCAGGTGACTATGACGTGTGGATGGGTGACAGGTGGGAAAGGCAAAACTCAGAGTTCAAGCACATGCTCTGATATTGTACACACAGAAGGTTTTTTTAATCCTTGATGTTTCTAGCTGAATGTTTCTCAGATAGCAAGGCTGGGAATGATCTATGCTTGAGAGCCTGGATAATTTTGGCATAGTTGGCTAAGTGGTCCAATGGGTTTAGTTCTATAAACTGGGATTTCTAAGGAAGGTGGAGGGAAGAGCCCTTTCCTTTCCTTGAGATGCATCTGGCACTCTGTCTGCACCGTGTTCTATGCTTGAGAGCCTGGATAATTTTGGCATAGTTGGCTAAGTGGTCCAATGGGTTTAGTTCTATAAACTGGGATTTCTAAGGAAGGTGGAGGGAAGAGCCCTTTCCTTTCCTTGAGATGCATCTGGCACTCTGTCTGCACCGTGTAGTATAATTTCCCAGCCTGTGTAGCAGGCTCAGCGGCAGAACTGCAACATAAGGCAACAGCATAATCCCAGTGCCTCTTATCCCTTTCCTGAGCACTGTGAAATCCTGCCCTGCTCGATCTCATCAGATTTCGGAAGCGAAGCAAGGTTGACTTTGGTCAGTATTTGGCTGGGAGACCACCAGGGAAGTCCAGGGTTGCTACACAGAGGCAGGCAACGGCAAACCACCTCTGAACATCTCTTGCCTTGAAAACCAGACGGGTTTGACAGAACTTGGCTGTGATTTGACAGAAAAATAGGATGTTTTTCTGGGGAAGGTATTGTGCAGATTGCAGGAATCATAGTGGTGAAACAGCCCCTCTGTTTTCACACACGATAGTAATAATTATCGTATGGCAATGTGTGTCGTATAGCCAGGAGATCCTAAGATTGTCTGGCATCCTGAAGTTCTAGCTCTCTTTTAGCATTACGCACCACTAAATGGCGAGCTGAACTTTTGTTTTTAAGGCAAGAGACGTTTCAGAGGTGGTTTTGCCCTTGCCTGCCTCTGCGCCGCACTCCTGGTCTTCCTGGGTGGCCTCCCCTCCAAATACTCGCCAAGGCGCCGACCCTGCTTAGCTTCCGAGATCGGGCTCGCCTGGGCCGTCCAGGTCAGGGTATTCTAACAGCACTTGTAGGAGATACTTAAATTCTTCACTGAATTTCATTACATGTGAAAAGAGTTAGTGCCAGACAACGGGAATCCGCAAGTGCGGTGTGAGGACTGTGGGTGTCCCACTGTAAACCTCAGATCCTGTGAACTACTGGACCCAGTATGACCCAGTTACTAAAACTTGCGAAGGGGAGTAGCGCTTCCCCTTTGGGGCAAAATCTTTTTGGCTTCACGGAGGCATCAAGAGTAGCACTTCAGGGATGCGGAGGGAGCCCCAGAGTGCCAGCATCTTCCTTCTCATCCGTAAAAGGCTGCATCTCCCCTTTTGGGTGTGTTACTTGACATGCCTCGTTAAGAGTGCTGCCTTGGGGGACACGGGGCCTTGCCCTCCCTGCACCTGGTCCTCTCATCTCTGCGCCATGTTGTTTCCCCAGGTGCCGTCACCTCCTTTGCAGCTGGCTACGTGAAAATCCGCTGGGTGCTGTGGTCGGAGCTGGTGATTTGCATTGTGACGGCATTCCAGGCAGGCCTCCTTTTGCTGATGAACACGACAGCCAACATCTGGATCTGCTATGTGGCCTACATCTTTTTCAGGGGCTCCTACCAATTTCTTGTGCCTATAGCCATGTAAGTGTTAAGAACTTGATGACTAGGTCTGGGCCTTAGTCTTTCTGGGTCTTCTCTACATACAGCGGTGGTGTTGTGAGTAGTTAGAAATGTTTAATATTCAACCTAGGTTAGGAAACGTTTGCTGAGTGTTCTGGAGGACATGAGCTAATCTGCTGCAATTCATTGTTGGGTTGGAGGGGGTGGGACTGAATGTAAAGGACTGTGATCTGTTGGCTTTCAAAATTTGGTCTTGGTGCAGCCTAAGGTTAGCACAAAGTTATTGGCGCTAGCCTGATCTCGGTCGTATTTTTGGATTACACATTTCAAATAAAACCTTCCCAGTGTCAATTATGGTGCCGCAGAGGCCTCAATCCATAAAGCGAGCCTTCTTTCCCCGTGGTTGCTTGACTGCTGTCAGTAGAACTCACTGGACTTCCTCTTTCTTTGACCGAAGTTTCCAGATTGCCGCTTCCCTGTCCAAAGAGCTCTGTGCTTTGGTGTTTGGAGTGAACACCTTCCTTGCCACCGTTCTCAAGACTACCATCACCATTATCATAACGGACAAAAGAGGCCTCGCTCTCTCCGTCCATCCTCAGGTAAGGGGGGCACGCGTGGCATGTGGGGACTGGCTCTTGTCCCTCAGCTGCCTTTAGGCAGGCTTTCCCAGTGCCTGATAAGACAGGCACAACCACATGAACAGCAGGAAGTGGGCCCTGAGGTGGAGTGCAGGCGGGGCCAGCAACAGCCAAAGGCAAGTCAGCCATGAAAACCTGCACCCTTCTTCTTAATCTCTCTGACCTGCCCTTTTCTAAAGAGAACAGGGTTTGTGCCAGACGTGCGCCATAATCTGCTAAAGGGACAAAAGTGCCTCTCTGCCGAATGACATCATCTGTGCCCCGCGGGGGACCCCTCGTGCAGCTCCACAGGGCCTGCAAGGCAGAGATGTTTCACCAGGCCTGCGGCTGAGGGCAGCAACCGTCTGTCATCGAGCCTGGCCTCATCCATGTCTCCTCTTCCCCTGGGGGGTAGGGTACAATTGGGTCTTAACTGCCCTCTGAATAGACCCAGGCCTGCGGCTGAGGGCAGCAGCCGTCTGTCATCGAGCCTGGCCTCGTCCATGTCTCCTCTTCCCCTGCGGGGGTAGGATACGATTGGGTCTTAACTGCCCTCTGAATAGACTTGGAATTGTTTTTAATCGAATCTGTGCAACTATGAATTGAGACGCTCACCGCCCTGTGCCCTGCATAGGGAAGGGTAGTCCCTCAGTCACATCAACCAACCACAGGGACTGTGCAGATTATGGATCTGTGCAACTATGAATTGAGATGTTCACCGCCCTGCGCCCTGCATAGGGAAGGGTGGTCCCTCAGTCACATCAACCAACCAACCAACCAACCACAGGGACTGTGCAGATTATGGCTGCTATTCTCCATGTTCCTCATCTTGTAGGGATTAATTTGTTATACAGGAGGCAGTTCAGTATGAACAGACTAAATTTGTTCTGTTGCCCTGAAGTTTAGCCCCTTCAATGACAACATAATTCATGAAGGAGTCACGGTTAGCTGTGTGTGGAAATGTTCATCGGGAGTCTTCAGAAGCAGGTTGAAGAAGCAGCACTTGATCCATCCAGTAGAATGAAGAACAGAGTGATTCCGCCTCCTTCCCAAATAAGTGTCCATCCTGGAAGATGAGGGTTAGCGGACTCCACCCCCCCCCTCCCCGACAACATACTTAGGGGGGCTTTCTGCTGCTGGCAATGAGGAAATCTGCCTTGGTGACTCAAGAGAGTCTCTTTAAGCTCTGTCATTCTGTGCTGCTTTGTGGCTCTGTGGTGGGCTGGTGGCTGACCACTTTACACACGTTTCCAACTAACCACTGTCCCTCTCCCTCTTCTAGTTCTACGTTTATTTTGGCTACTTCACATTCTTGACCGTGGTGTATCTCGCAGCATCTGTGTGTGTGGCTGTGAGGCACAATGCACGCAGGAAGCCTCAAGAGGAACGCTGCAGCCCGGATGGTGAAGTCTCAGGAAAAGACAAAAGCACCGAGCTGGCTAGTGAGTTGGGGAAAGGCGAGAGCCCTGCCTGACCAGCCCCCACGTGGAAGACAAGCTCTCCTTCAGCACCTGAGAAAGTGACCCTGTATTTCCGGGTCAATCCAGCATTGGTTTCAGGATATCCAGTCACTGCATAGGCCAAGATGGAGAAAGCTTTCTGTGGTTTTGGCATCAAGCAGTATGGGACTGAGGGACTGTGGCTTCCCCGTTCTCTTGGGGTCTCATTTTACTTCTGCATCCACTCTCTCCAGGGGCAAGCTGTGAGGAGGGAGGCAGCATACGCCACCATAGGGCAAATGTATGAATGTGATTTTAAATGCAGCTGTTTCCTCACCAGGCATGTGAGTGATGCAACAGAGAAAATATATGCAGGCACTTTTTTAACAAAAAGAAAGCAATTCAACTTTTTATAAAGTTTTCTATTGATTTGTCAATGCAATCTGCTGGAAAGGATGGCGTTACAGGTTTGTTTGGGTTTTTTAAAAAATTCTCCTGCAGTTCCAGCCCAGGGACCATTTGATGTTTACCTAAGTGGATTCCTAGAGCTCCTCAAACTTTGAGATAAGAAGTCAGTCTCCTGTTCGTCCCTCTCAGTCAAAGACAGTAGAGGGGAAAATCCCAAGTCCCTGAAAATGGATCTTAAACTTGCAATCACAAGAGCAGTTCAGATTTCCAGGGACTTTGATTCTAGCAGAGACGATGGACAATCAGCATCCCTGATGAGTCACCCGTCTAGCGCAGGCTTGGGGAAGGGGGGGGGGCTACTGGATCGGGTAGCCAGTTGTTCTTTAGCGGTTCCATTTTCTCACTGCATGTTGTCTCTCTCCCCGCTCTTTTCAGGGATGTGATGTTGCTCAGTAGTCATCCATCGAAAGGCACTCTGCACATTATTTCACGTGTTCTAGGAATGAGTGAGAGGTTTGTGTCGTCGTACACGCGTAGGACTGTAATGTCTGAACAACATGAATCAAAAGAGGATATTGTCCTTTATTCAGTGCCTTTAGGAAACAGTTTATAGAACACAACGCACAAAGGTATAGAAATCCACAGGCTTTTAAAATTGCAGTGAGTTTCACAAAATACAGTAGACAGAAACTGTGACTTGGACAGGTTCTTATACCCATCTCCCCCCACCCCACGTAGTAAAATTCCCGACTGACAGTAAAAAAAGTTGGGTAGAAATTTAGCACCTGGGCTTTTTCACAGCTGCTTGGGCATTCGTGTTTAAAAGAAACTGGTACATGACAATATCAAAGTCTGGATAAGATGAGAGCAAGGCTGTCAGGCTTTTCTCACTCGGTAGCTTAAAAGCCACCTGGCCACAAACCTCCTTATGCCAAATTCACCTGCACTGCTGGGGAACTGAGCAAAGCAGTGATGTGCAACACCAGATAGTGGTTAAGTGTGTCCTCTAGTCATTCCCGGGCCCTGAAATATTTACACATTGTCAGTTGCTTTCTTAAGAGGCTGACAGTATAGCTATGAGGAATGGCTTCGGTCTAGTGGTTCCTGCCACATAACGGGGGGGCGACAGAGTGAGAAGGAAAAGAGGTGGTTAAAAGGGACCCGTATCCCTGTCCAGACTAACTCACAGAACAGCCAGATTAGGGTCAGAGTTCAAGGAGGATTTAGGAGAATAGGTATAAAGCCAATCATTGCATTTATTGTTAATCAAAGGGGTGATGAAGTCAGAAACTTCCATCTCTACATTTAAGCTGCAGCTGGAGGTTGAGGAATGATGTTGAAGAAGACAGATGGGCTTCGAGGATCCTAACTGACCAGGCAGTGGGCCAGGCAGTTTGCACCAGAGCCCATTCCCCCATGGACATGCTTGGTCACGGGGGAGTGTGGCAACCACTTGAGGAGGGCAAAAGGAAAATGTAAAAAGGTTTTTTTTAAAAAAAAAATGAGTTTTTTCTCCTCTTCTTTCCAAGCTCAGAGAAAATATTTCGGCAAAATCAACCACCTGATGTAGTTGTTCTTAATAGCTCTGGTTCTCTTGCAGAAAAGATAGGAGGGCCGGGAGAGAAGCACTGTGCAAAGCAAGACTTGTAGCCTTAATCCATGTGACTTGCATTGATGGGCAGGATGCTACAAATCCTGTGACAAGAATTGGAACCAGAATATTGTGACTAGGAGAGCATTATTTGACTCTGCAGCATAAGAGAACCTCAGCAAAAATACTAGGCCGGCTGCTATCTCTGACACGGGCCCTTTTCAAACTGCCTTTGTATTCCGTTTTAGTAACTGGTTGCTAATGGATTTTTTCCTGTCATTTTAGACAGACCCATTATTAGTAAGCAGCTGCTAGTGGAATTTATGTACCCATTCATACAAACCCGCTTGCATCGGGTTAGCAAAGTGTGGTTGAGCTGCTTTTGAGGGAAACTGCTTTTTTTCTGTTTTCAACCCCTTCGTTGCACTTCTGAATCACTGTGGTGTGCTGTTTAAAATGTCCACAGCGCTTCCTACAGTGTTGCTTTCCTCCCTCCCTTTTTGCCACGCGATCTTCCTCTGACCTTTTGTGAATGTTCTCAGGTGAGCGCTAAACTAAACATCAGTGCCATAGTGAAGTTCAGTACTAAATGTCAGAGCTATAGTGGCACCATTGAGATGCACCGACTCCATTGAGTCAATGGTGCCACCATAGTGCTCACCTTAGAACAAGGAAGATTGCGTGGGGGGAAAAGAGGCACGGTTTGAAATGACCGCAGCACTTCAGAGATGGCTCATTAATGGAAAGAAATTTGCTGAATGAAACCCCTGTCCCTGTATCGCTTTGCTCAAAATCAGGCCAATAATGAATAACATCCAGTTTAGAACGGTAATGTGAAAAGGGCCATAGTGTGTGTTGGGAGGCAGTATCACTCTTCATTCCCGTATGCAGTATCCACCTTCAAAGGGGCTTGGTCTCTTTCAAAGAGTTTTTCGGCATGATGCTTTTCTGGGCACAGCGAGAACCCTGTACAATGTTTCTAAGGCCACAAGTGTCCCCCTAGGCACAGCACAGCAGGATCTAGTTTGTGATCCTTAGCACTCTTCTCCCAAAATTAGAGCAGGCAGTGCCAAGAATACCTGGCTGTGCCGCACAGCGGTAACAAGGTCAAACTGAGAGCAGTGGGCTCCCAAGGGAAGCAGTACTACCGCCTGTCTACTGTATGAGCCTCCTCTTGTCTGTGTCAACTCAGCCCCAATAAACAGGATTTCTGATCTGCACACGTGCTCTTGGTTCTCTTGTTTTTTAAAAAGGAAATCTGAGTGGATGTTGGAGGAAGAGAGTGACAGACAGACAAACATGGAACTTGTAGTGAAAGGTGCAATTAAAGGCATACTATGAGCATGATTAAAGAGAGACGGGAGGAGCCCTGTTCACAAGGTATGGTGAATGCACGTACATCTGTTGGTGATAAAGAGCCCGTGTGTGCACACTTTCAAAATAAAACTGGACACCAATACCTGGATAAATGGGTTTTTAAAAATCATGCATTCAACTGCACTTGCATGGAATCTAACCCAGGAGTTACTCAATGCTTGTAGAAAGAAAAATCAAGTTTACACTGTACACAGATTGTACATACATTCTTTGTATCATGTGTACATGGCTAGGGAGAGAAAGAGACCCTTTCACGTACCACACTTGCCTGAAGATGGCCTCACAAACAAGCCTGACCTGCCCCAGCTCTTCTGGCAGAGACACGCATTACTCACGGGGGGTGGGGGGGGACACATTCAGCACCCCGTCTGCACGGGAAACCACAGGAAGACACTCTTTGGCTTTTTCATTCATTGATCTGCTTCACGGCTATACTGTGGAACTGCCTGGACGCACTATACTGATTGGGGGGGGGGTGAGGTGGGGAGGGACCACCACCTGTTCTCCTCTATGCGATGGCAACAGGAGGTCCCCCCCCCCCTTGCAGTCAGTGCTTTTGGTGTGGTGCCATTTCATTTCTGAGAAGACGTCATGAAGCTGTTTTCGATGCACAGGACGACGAAGGCACTTTTGCAGCTGCTGCTCTTCTGTTCCAGCAGCTTGCCTGAAGCCAGTGAGGCGGCCTGCCCGGTCACCACCGCATCATCTGTCCGCCACGTTTCACAGTAGCTCTCTGTTAACCGCCGCCCCTTGGCGTCGGAGCCGTGCCACACGGATTTCTGAGGCCTGGAATGGAACAAGACCATCTTACGTGTGACACAGAGGCAGCCCAGAGGTTACCACCACAGGGAGGCGCACCTGTATGATATGTATGTGTGCTACCTTCACATTTTTAAGTGGGCACTGAAACGTAATGTGTGAAGGAACAGAGCCCTTCCAGTGGGCACAGCTTTCCATGTGCTCCTCCCCTTAAAATTCTGTCATGCACACGATTATGGATCATCCTTTGTTCCTGATCCTGAGTTTTGTAATTATTTCTTTTTCACTCAAAATAAGAAATTGTTCACCAGGAGTGGCCGAAACAGAGATCTCTGGGAAGACGAGCGATACCTCTTTCCCAAGAAAAATCCTATGGGAACTCCTTGAGTTCTGGGGAGACCAACACTAGGGATTGCTCTTGTCTATTTCCTTTTATAACCTAAACCAAGGTACCTGGATAACAATGAAATAAGAAAGAAATCATACCCAGAATGCACCCTGGCCTCTACCAGGGGACCAAAGAGGAAGAGCACCCTGGTGTGATTGGCCTGGGCTGAAGCACGAGCCAGAAAAAGAGCCACTGCATCAGGGAGCTCCCTTCCCTCCTCCTCCCAGAAATGGGTTTGCTCAACTTTCCAGCTGTGCAATGTGTGGACAGGGGTGAGGTAGAGGCTGTCTGGCCAGAGAGAGAACCAAAGACTGCTGGGTCATTACACCATCTCTATTGCAGCAAGAGAACATCAGCCTGGCCCTCCTTCATTGTGGCATTGCTAAACTCTTCTGTCTCCCTCCCCTCTACCTTTCCCTTCCATTCCCCTTCCTTTATGCATCTTTTCTTTTTCAAAGCCTGGGGGCAGGGACTCTCACTTTGACTTATACATAGCGCCTGCTGCCCAAATTGTGTATTGAAATTCAGTTGCTCCTAGCCACTTTGGGAAACAATTTTGGTCTGCAAAGCAAGAAAAGAGCATAAAGAACTACAGCTCACGTTTTAAGGTGAGTGGGGAAAGATAGACAAAATGGTAGTTCTGCAGCTCTTGAAGTAAGGGCTGGGTTTCCCAGACTAAATTCTCTTCCCCGTGCCCAGCCAACTAGTCTCTTGGCTGAAACAATCGGATCTTGCGCAGGACCTGCTAGGCCAGGTGTCATTTTAACTATTGTCACTCACTCTACCCAAGACCAGCTAGCCCCTTCCAGCAACTGACTGCCACCACTTTAAGAAATATTGTGGAATCAGATTGGAGACATTTGCTCCACTCTTGAGGATGAAAATAATTCTATAAATATATACGGTATAGTTTAAGGGATTGTATGAAAAGCTTGGCCAAGCAAATGTTCTTGTGTGTGAATATTTTGCTGTTGCAAGCGTGCCCCAAGGGAAAAACCACAGGGTGCTGAAGAAACACCAGTGACCAACAATAAACACATTTTTTATTAGAAGATCTTCACAAGATACCCTTAGAGCTGCCAGGCCAAGAAGCATGCAGCCCAAGCAAATTCCCACATCTGTACCTTCAAACAAATGCTCTTGTTTTTCCACCTACCATGCAGAATCTCTCAAGACGTCCCTTCCATCAAAGGAGAGGATATGAACCCCAGTTCTAAAGGGAGCCTCAGAGCCTGAGAAGAGGTACTCCCAGTTAGTAAACAGCACTTCATCCTGGAAGGGAATGGGGGAAAGACAGTGTATTTGCATAATACTTCCAAAAACAGCCTGTGGATGAAAATTTTGCACTGCCTGGGGAAACTTCCAGCGCACGTACCAGGTCCCGGGTTTAATCTCTGCAATGTCTCCAGCAAAACAATCTCGGACAGCAGATCTAGGAAACGCCCCCTCTAGAGTTCTTTCCCCACTGCTCCCAGTCAGAGTAGGAGCCCCTGTGTTTACAGAGTCTCTATGCAAAGCACCCTCTTTATGTAACCAGTTCCTCTGGATCATTCAGGAAATGCAATGACTGAGTGTGTAGATTCCCCTATGGATCTGTGTAAACGTATTCCAATCTTCGTAATATAACGACCTATCCTTTTCAACATTTTAAAACATTTTAAAGAGTACATGGACATGCCTCGTGTGTGAGGTGTATCTAATGATTCTCCTGAGCGGGAAGCATTCCCTTACAGTGACTGTGGGAGTGTGTCAGCTGCAGTTTCTCACTCTGCGCTCCTTGGAACTGAATCTTATATGACATTAATGGCATGTTTATCTCATTGTGGCTAAAAATGCTCTATTCCATTTGCTTTAAAAATAAGTCTCTTGCATCACTGTGCATTATCTACACAATTTCATGTCAAAAGTTGACTAGGTCAAGGAGGCAAAATATCTCTCTGCCCAGCCTACAGACCCAAACTGCAGCAAGAACAGACCCCTCTGACAAACGCTGCCAAAACTCTGACGACTGCTAACCCGGCAGGACTGGGCACCACCCTAGGAAGCCCCTCTTGGTGTTCATCTGCCAGTGGGCACTGTCTGGTATCCCAGGAATCAGGACCGTCTCATCATGGCACTACTGTAGGTTTAGGGACACTGTCCTGCTGCTGACGGTGAGCAAAGTTATGCTGCTTGCAGCTGAGGTCCCACTCCAGCCAGACATCAGCACACTGGCCCAGCAGCACTGCAGAGTCTGCAATTGTCACTATCCAAGAGCATCACAGAAACAGGCAGGGAAGAAAGGAGGTTCTCATCCCATGAACGTGCCTTTGCCGGTGGGTCTCATTGGACCTCTGTTCCCCAGCACCTACCCTGAGATTGACTATAGGCACCATACTCCTGTCTGCTCTCCGCACTATACTGTAGAGGTCTTGCAGTCGGGACGAGAGGAATGCTCGGAAGGTGCCCGCTAGTCCAGCCTCCCTCGCTTGCTGGAAACACTGGAAGTCAGCCCCTCGGATGCCACGCATACTGCCACTCAGGGGAGTGTTCAGGGCTATAAGGTGGAGCTGGAAAGCAAAAGAGATGACCATGTATGAGCCAGAATTTGTACCAGCGCTCCACAGAGCTTTCAGTCCCACCTCTATATGGTGCGACACAAAAGAAAGCACTGTGACTCCCTGACCTGGACAGCCCAGGCAAGCCTGATCTCATCAGATCTCGGAAGCTAAGCAGGGTCGACTCTGACAAGTACTTCGATGGGAGACCTCCCTGGAATACCAACAGCTGGGAGGATGGGGGCAGGCTTTATTCGGCCACCTCTCTGAATATCCTCCAGGCCTGCAGGGTCAGTCACCAGAGGTTTCCCCGACTTCCAGGTGCGTGTGCCTGTGCGCACACACATAAAAAATCAAGAATTTTAAAAAGTAATGTGACTATGATAGGTCAGGCAGCAGCAAAGGTAAGCATGGAGGCCCAAGTCATTCCTGGGTTCCTGCTATTGCTTCCTGGCAGTCAAAAGCATCCAGCTACTGAGGGCTTCCATTTTTTAAAGGTACACAAACTCCTTTTATCATTTTGGATGCTTTTTTAACCCCCAATGTACATTTTCAGACCTTTCTGCAAACCTGTGGTGTGTTGCAGGTTTGTAGAAACATCTGTCTTGTCTGTTCATGGCTCCAGTCACTGGATTTAAGTATCCTCAGATTTGGCCATCATGGCTATTAGAATATAAAATGATGATGATACACAGTATATCCCATGTTTGTTTCATTGTATACATCATGATTAATTCTCTGCTTTTACATTTTGAAAAGAATATCTGTTCTCTGTCTGTGCCTTCTGTGACATGGAAGTAGGAATGCAACAACAAAACCCATAAATTGACAAATCTAGGACCTGCCTTCCTTCCAGAAAAGCAAGGAAGCTCAAGATCTCAGCTTTGAGCAGAATTTTCTACCCTACAAGAGAACTCTAATGACTTTGGTCCAGGGTCCATCATACATGCACACACCATGAAGGCCTATATGATGTTAGTGAGCCAGGCCACTTGTTGGAACCATGAGGGTGCATGCACTCGGACAACCATGCAAGTGTCCCCATATCTAGCTGGAGCTAGTGCAGAGCAATGCTACAAGTTACACCAGGGACTGAAGACTTCCCCCTGGTTTCCCAGCACATACCTGTTTGCTTCACTTATTAAAATATTTATGCCCTGCCCCTACATCCAAGGCAAGGGAAGTGGTTGAGGCTGAATTAATGTGAAGGAATTTCAGAGAACATAAAGGAGGAAGGAGTCCAAGTTAGTCTACGAGGTTCCCCAGCTTTGTTCTAATTATGATTCCAAGGACGTGCATCCCCCAAACCCCATTCTCAGGTCTCCTGTTTATCTCCATGTTCCCAGTGTACCTCAGCCCATTCTACAGGCTCGAGAAGCAAGCAAAGCATACCGGCCTCTGCCCACCTTCAGGGCCCAAAAGATGTATGGTTCTTATCATGATCCCCAATCTCTGCATACAGATTTGCTTAATGAAGCCAGCTGCTTTTATGGCACAACCTTCAGGGGCCGACTGAAACGACCACTCTGGAAAGCTAATGCCCTGCAATGCACTATGGCAAGAAAAGCACGGTGGCTGCAAGGATAGAGAAGGTATCAGAAAAGGCACAGGACACTCACAGCCGGCTGGAAGTCATGGTGTGTGTGAACAGCAGAAGGAAGAGTTCCGGACGGGCGGCTGTTATGGAAGAAGGCGTTCGCTTGCTCTTCCTGCTGCTGCCCTCCCTGACGAGGGGGGTGGTGGATGGCAGGTTGCTCGGGAAGGCGCTGTTGGTTGGCCACACTCTCATCTCCTCTCCAGGGCTTGGCAGTGGAGTAGACCCCGTGCTCTCGGTGAGGATGCACAGGCAAATGCTGTGGAAATGGGCGCTGGGATCCAGATGATGCTGTGCCCTCACCGTGTGAGTAGTGGATACTGGGAGGCCTATCGTATACCTCATTGTCCTGGAGTAGAACACAGACCACCGTCCTTCACCCGCCTTCTCAGTGTTCTCATTGCCTGCTTATAACATGCATTCTCTGCCACCAAGGAATCAGGCCAAACCCACATTTTCTGCAGTTCACAGCACAACACAGCCCCACAATCAGCAATGTCAAGTAGCAACAGAAGATGCTCCATTAGCTAACGACTCAATATAAGGCAGCTAAAGTCCTTAATAGTATATGGCAATTCAAGTTGCACTCCCTGTGGATAGCAGTCCATGTGGGGTTCCACTCTGATCCACCACAGAGGGCCAAGCATTTTAAAGAGATCCTACCAAGACAGAGTCCTGGCAAATTTGGGAGGTTTCAAACTAGCCCCCCCCCCCCAATGGTACAATGCTATAAAATGCTACTTTACTTACCAGACCAGGACCAGAGATAGAGACTCTTTCCTCAAGCTGAAATTAAGCCAGAACAATTGCTTTAGGCTACACTTTGCATTTATGTAGTAACACTAAAGTGTTCGAAGTGCTTCAGTACTTAAGTTCAGTAACCCCTGCAAGGGAGATTAGTCACACTATCCCTGTATGGCAGGAGAGTCTTTAGACACAGGATGCAGCCATGTTTCAGAAGCTAAGTAGAGGTCTGGTCTGGCCGATGCCTGGATGGCAGACCAGGAGCCCCGTGCCTTAAGTTCCACGATGAAAGAAGTGAAGCAAGAAGGAATGACACCCTGCCTAAGATCATCCAGTGAATTCAGGGCAGAGCTGAGATTTGAACTCAAAGCTTCACAGTTCAGGATGAACTTTCAACTTTTCCAAATTCAACTTTTCCAAATTCATATACAATTAGCGAGAGGAAGGCTTCTAGAAGGTTCAACCCCTTTTCTAAAATCCCAACAAAATTCAGAACTGCTTCAGTACCACTTTTTCTCATTTGTAAGCTTCTTTTGTACAAAAGTATGTTGGCCACACCAGAATGCTGAGCCCTTGCACGACTTCAGTGAGGAAGGCTACCAGACTTGGATCACAAGAGCTGCAGAAAGGTTTTAAATTGGGCTTAATGGTAAGTATTGTGGGCCGCCACTTGTCTTAATTAACACGTAAATAAACCAGAGAAAGGTCACAGCTCTGTGATACACGGGAAAGTAGTTATTCCTGAGAGTATTTACTACTCATGTTTATCCGTTTGGATATTTCTGTCCTGCTTTTCTCCCCCAATGGGAATTCAAAACAGCTTACAAAAATCCACCCCCTTCCATTTTAGCCATCAATAACCCTGTGAGGTAGGCTAGGCGGAGAGCGTGTGATTGGGCCAAGGTCCTAAAGGACGTTTCCATGGTAGAGTGGGGATTTGAATCTGGGTCTTCTGGAGCCTAGTCTGGCTTTCTGACCACTACACCACACTCCATCCATCAAGTTCTGCAATCATTTGAATGCCTCTCTCTCTCCACTACGACAGGGCAGTCAGTCTACACACAGTGTTGTCCCACAAGGCTGCTGTCACCAAAGGGCACTCACAAGGACTCTCCTGAAACCACTGCGGACACGGATGTAGAGCTCTTCTCTGTCCCGGACGAAGAGGAGCTGCCCTTCGGGTGTTTCATGAGCTCTGCTCATCATGCTCTGATACGTTGGCAAGATTCGCAGCTGCCGGGAAGGGGGGGGGGAATCATTTGACAAAAGGGAAACAAACCACACCTTTGTTGTTGTTCAAGGATTTGGCCAAAGTTCTAAACGTTAATACTATGTATGTTCAATTTGCAAACTTTGGCTGTATCCAAGGAAGCTAAAGCCACAATATATAGTACAAGGGGTTCTCTAGCTAAAGTTTTAAGGACATTAGCAGTGCCCAGCTAGATCAGATCGGCATCTTTCCTGCAGACAGTGGCCAACCAAAAAGGTGCAGAGGCCTTCCCCTGAGGCTGGCTCCTAGCGGTGGCACTCAGAGGTTTCCTGTCTCCGGATGTGGGGGCTCCACTTAGACATCACGGCTAGTAGGCATTAATGCACCAATCTTCCGTAAATCCATCTAATACCACCGCCCCCCCCATAGTTATCTATGCTAGTGGCTATCACTATGTCCACTGGCAGAGAATTCCACAACTTAATTACTAATTAACAATACTTCATTTTCTCCTTCCTTGCCAATCTACTTCATCGGCATCCCCCGAGTTCTAGTATTATGGGAGAGCAAAAGAAAATGCTCTAATCAAATCTAGTGTTCCCTTCTATCAGACACCTCAAGGAAGAGTTTCCAGATTCAAATGTTAGAGTAGCTTGGAAACTGCTCCTGTGATGAAAAAGACCTGGCTCCTCGTATTTGCAGATGACCTTGGCATCGCAAGTCCTCATTCCTCCCACTTACAGAAATGTAGTCTGTGCCCACCAAACAAGTGGGGCTGCCTTTTACATGAGCTGCCCCCCCCCCAGGCTGGAGAGTGTGTGAAGAGCCCACTTCCTTACCCCAGAAGATGCATCACCAACGCCTGGAGGTCCTGGCGGCCCCGGTGGCCCCGGGATACTGATGGCTGGAAAAGAAAAAGGATTTAACCCAATGGAGCAGAGCTACTTGCAAGATGCGGGTGAGACAGCACAACACACACATACTCACATTGTCTATGGGGACCTGGAAAAGAAAGGGGACCAGGAGGTCCGGGAGGACCCGGAGGACCTGGTCGTCCCTCAAATCCTGCACCGGGAGGTCCTTGAGGCCCAGGGGGACCAGGTGGTCCCCTAACACTGTCCCCTTTTGGCCCCTGGAAAAAAGACATCATGAATGCATTATTAGAACCAGAGAAGCAGAAGGAGCCTAATGGTCCAGCCTTCTGCCCAAGGGCGAGGCCATCAGCCCACCTCTGCTCCTCTGATCAGTCCGAGCAGTAACCTACCTCCAAGCGAAATGCATGCACCAAACCTCTCCCATTTCGTCCTACTGTTCCTCCCCCCCCCCCCAAACATTCCCTCCTGTTCTGACATCCCCGGCACCTGAGCAAGGGAGGTCACAGTTTTTATTCTTGCTTGGACCCCACACCCAGAAGCAGTCCTTTCTGTCCACGGGCCAGAGGCCAGAGTTCTAACCTCCTGCTGCCTCTTACTTCTCGGCCCACCCCACATAAGCTGCCATCCATATAAGGTGAGCTCCTAACCCTTTGAATGCTGGACATCATGCCAGGCATTGGCTTTTGCCCCTCTTGCTATGTAGTGTGGGACAAGTCAGGCAAGGCGGGATAGAAATCAAAATAAATAAATAAATAAATCTCACCGGAAGGCCAGGATATCCGGGAGGACCTGGAGGGCCTGCAACGCTTGAGCCAAAGAACCCGCCGCCTCCTGGCTCACCCTTTTCACCTCTTGCCCCAGCGTCCCCTCTGTCCCCCTTTTCTCCCTGTGGAAATGTATTAAAGGGGGGGGAATCACACAAATGACACCCACCAACTTCACCTCCCAAGGGATAAGCGTTTCCTTCTAGAGCAGGTTTAGGAGTGAACAAAATTAACCTCCCAGCAAGCAACACAGAACTAAGTGAGAATTCAGATTTCGAGTGCTAAACCGAAAGCTGCCAGTGGCAGGATGCTGGAGGCTAACGAGACTCCTCGCTCGGAGGCCCAAGAGCCGCCAGAGGCTCTTCCAAGCACTGTTCCGCAATATGGCCCCTGAAGCGTGGCACGTACATGGGCAAAGCCCTCACCCAGCGGGGATTCCCGCTGATGGCATTGTACTTGAGCCTGCCATTTCCCTAAGCCCACAGCATCGTCCCCCTCCCAGAGATCCTCCACACTTAGCCTCTTTAAGAGCCTACACAGTCTTCCCAGAGAACGAGAACTTACCCTAATTGTGGAGCCAAATATGCTGAGATCATAGGGGAACTGGCCTTGTGAACAGAGAAGAAATTGAGAACAGTTAGATGTCTCTAATGGCCATGAATGCTCTCCCCTTTGCATCTTGCCTCCTTTGCAATCCTTAGCATTCAAGGCGCAATCCAGCCATTTGTGATTGTTTTAAACATTCTGTACCGCTAGGCTAAGACTTCTTTGGGGAAGACTAAACAGCCACTTTTCATGGATTCCAGATGAAGGGATTTCTGTAGATCCCTGCTCTGAGCTCAGCTGGGGATCAAGTGCTGACTCCAGACAAAGAAAGGAGAGGCAGTGTCTACCATCAAAAAAAGGCAGTGATTGGGCAGGATGGGGGAGGGGCAGTACCGAGGAACCTGCCTTAAAGCCTAGAAAACCAGAACATAAGAACATAAGAACATAAGAGACGCCAATGTTGGATCAGGCCAAAGGCCGCATCCAGCCCAACACTCTGTATCACACTGTGGCCAGAAATACCAGGTGCCATCAAGAGGTCCACCAGTGGGGCCAGGACATTAGAAGCCATCCCACTGTTGACCCCCCCAAGCACCAAGATGACAGAGCATCACTTGCCCCAGAGTCCCTATCTATACCTTGTGGCTAATAGCCACTGATGGACCTCTGCTCCATATGCTTATCTAATTCCCTTTTGAAGCCGTCCATGCTTGTAGCCACCACCACTTCCTGTGGCAGTGAATTCCAAGTGTTAATCACTCTTTGGGTGAAGAAGGACGTCCTAAGAGTCCCTATCTATACCTTGTGGCTAATAGCCACTGATGGACCTCTGCTCCATATGCTTATCTAATTCCCTTTTGAAGCTGTCCATGCTTGTAGCCGCCACCACTTCCTGTGGCAGTGAATTCCATGTGTTAATCACTCTTTGGGTGAAGAAGTACTTCCTTTTATCCGTTCTAACCCGACCGCTCAGCAATTTCATGGAGTGCCCACGGGTTCTTGTATTGTGAGAAAGGGAGAAAAGTACCTCTTTCTCTACCTGCTCTTTCCCATGCATAATCTTATAAACCTCAATCATGTCACCCCTCAGTCGTCGTTTCTCCAAGCTAAAGAGCCCTAAGCGCCTTAACCTTTCCTCATAGGGAAAGTGTTCCAACCCTTTTATCATTTGAGTTGCCCTTTTCTGCACTTTTTCCAAAGCTATAATATCTTTTTTAAGGTGTGGTGCCCAGAACTGCACACAGTATTCCAAATGAGGTCTCACCATTGATTTATATAGGGGCATTATTATATTGGCTGATCTGTTTTCAATACCCTTCCTAATAATCCCCAGCATAGCATTTGCCTTCTTTATTGCAGTCACACACTGTCTTGACATTTTCAGTGAGTTATCTACTACAACTCCAAGATCTCTCTCTTGATCAGTCTCTGCCAGTTCAGACCCCATCAACGTGTATTTATATTTAGGATTTTTGGCTCCAATGTGCATCACCTTGCACTTGGCCACATTGAACCCCATTTGCCATGTTGATGCCCACTTGCCCATCTTTGACAGATCCCTTTGGAGTGCCTCACAATCCTCACTGGTTTTCACAGATAATACCTTTAGAACAGATAATACCTTTAGAACAGATAATACCTTTAGACAATCCTCACTGGTTTTCACAGATAATACCTTTAGAACAGATAATACCTTTAGAACAGATAATACCTTTAAGAACAGATAATACCTTTAGAAACACTGGCATATTATTCTTGTCTGAAACACATGTGGCATGGCATGGGTCTGAAGGCTGATTTCAGAGGTCTTCAGTGGTTGAAACATATAGCTGGAAAAGGCAGGGGCTTTACAAATCCTATTGGGTTGGATTATTGCCAATGCTATGTGGAGTCACCCAAAAGGATTTCCAAAGGCACCTGCCAGGTACATGCATAATCAGTTTGACTTCAAGCCAAACTGCACAATGCTGAGAGTCCAGTCTCTGGAGCTGCACAGTAATTTTTCTTTTGAAATCGCAGGGGCAGAGACTGAGGCCCAGTCTGAATTGGGATGGCTGTATAGGGAGAGAGGGATTAATCTTTTCTACTGCACCATTCTTTAGATGGTTCCTGTGGAGATACCATTTGCCCCATGGGTCAAATACAAAGTGGTCCGTATGTTGCCCATAAGTTTACTCCATGGCACAAATAGCTCTGCAAGATCATTTAAGGTCAGCAAAACGGCACAGAGAAAATAGGTATTGTATAGAAATATGGATTTCTAAAAACCCCTGCCTTCCCCTGGAATGTCTCTTGCTGATACCCTGCTGTGTTGATTTCCTATTGAAGCCATATGGCCCAATAGCCCTGCCATATAACCCTACATTCTTCACACTTACATGCTGGCACAGAGAACAGATGGCCTCTGCAAGCATGTCAGAAATGCACATAGCCCATGGGGCTGGGGTTTGGGGACCACCTGACTGCAGAGGGTGCTCTCCAGACCTAGCCTATCCCCCACCCATTGCCATGAAAACCCAAAAGTTGGACACACCCTTCCTACTTGTGATTGGCTGATGGCCACGGCTAGTCATGATTAGATTGGGGTTTTAAATTGTCTGACCCTTGGAGGAGAGCTCAGATTTTCTTGCTCTCTCTACTTGTTTGAATTGCATCTGGGACTGCTGTCCCGAGGGGAAGCTAGGCCTGGGATCTTTTGTGCAGCTGAGCACATGGCTGCATGCTTGCAAAGATGGACGTCTTGCTCCAAACCTGTTGGGGCTACTGGATTATTACAAATGGACTATTCTGGACTGATAACTGTTCCTGACTTGGTAAATATGCATCTCTAATGTGTAGTTAAGGCAAAACATTGCCTAGCCTTTGTTATTTTTAAATCCTTCTAGTCTGTGCCCAGTTCTATACTAAATAAAACTTATTCTGGTTTTCTAGCTTGTCTGTTTTGATATGTAACTGAATCCCAAGCCTAGATCTTGTAGCCTAACCCACTGACCATATATGCTACCTAGGTAAAAGTTTGCACCTCTGAGTACAGTTGCTTATGTGTAAAACCCACATGCCAGCTGAGATTGTGGATCTCTAATCTCAGGCTGGCGAGGGATTAAGTAGAGATCCTGGTGGCTATAATGTTCTGAAATCCAGAGAGCCTACCTTTCTGGGTTATTGTGTGTCAGCAAGCTGCCAATGTTTGGTTTTCTTTCTGTATATGTGTGTGCGCGCTTGCCTCTTTCAATGTAGAATCGTAGATGCGCATGTCTATGTAGCTCGCCGAAACAATTATCTCGCTCAAGGCCACAGGTGGAGGCAAAGGCTTGTTAGTGTAAGGGAGTTCTCACTGAACACCGTGAGAAGAAGATAACATGAGGGACTTGGGAGTGTTAGTTCTCAGGCCAAAGGCACGCGTGGGAAACCCTGCAACTGGCCCGTAGTAGTTTGAATGTTTATTATATGCTTTGCTACTGCTTTTACCCCTCATTCTGAACAGTGATCCTGTTATGCACCTTCAGCTCTAATAAAGTTACCTTTTCATTAAAAGCGTGCTTATTATGATGCAAGGAGGAGTCTGACATTGTGTAATGTATTGAGCCAGTGTAGAGTTTTCCCCTCCATCCCTGGACTGGCCTGGGGGGCAGAATCTATACCCTCCCTCCATGGTGCAGTCCTGATCCAAACTGGGGTCTTGTGCTCCTGTTATTTAATAAGAAAAACACACTTTGATGGCTCTGGGCTCCCACCATATATTGTTTGGTTGTTTTTCATCTGCAAAAATTTACCAGGTAATCAACCCTAAAGGTCTATTGAAAAAGGCGGCCCAAACTTTTCAGACTTCTCCCTGCAAGGATGAAGCCTACATGAACTAAACTTTGATTTTCCATCTTGTATAAAGGGCCATATCCCAGTGGTTCTGTGTTTGCTTTTTATGCGGAGAGAATCCCAGGTCTCATCCCTGGTGACTCAGGTACTGGAATGGTACCTCCAGTGAAGAAAAAATGGAGAGCTGATAGCATGTGTGATGGCACTGCTCCATGACAAGCATTTTAAAAATTGTGTTTCATTCATATGCTGTAGACCTGAAATACGTCCTGTATCTTAAGGACTGCTTCCACCCTGCGAAGCATAGGAACCTGTGGTGAGTCTCTCAAATTGGGACGTGTAAATAGTCCTCCTATAGATCGATGGATGTCAGGAAATCCTTTGCTTGAACATCTGCCAGAATGGAGTTCAGAGTTTTGATCCTGAATTTTCTACTCCTGACGCAGTTGTATAGCCATTTCAGGTCCAAGATTTTCCTGGCATCCCTATTCTTCTTTGGGTCTGGGCATGATATCCTTTTGGAGTCAGACCAGGACTGACTTTTTTTAAAAAAAAAAAGGTAGATCATGTATTTTTCTCCAATAAGATATCTGTTGAGTTCATCTCCGAAAAGGTTTATGCCCCTGAAGGGAACTGCTGTCACTTTAGCCTGTGCTGCAGCGTCCCCATCCCAATTCTAAGCTTCTGGTTGTTACACTGCATGCCATGGCTTTAACTAACTGCTGCAGGATGTACAGTGAAGGTTCCGCCACTATCATTGTCTTTAAGTTCTTTTGCGACTCCACTATCAGCTGATGCCCAAGAATGTGCCACCCTGGCAAACATCGAGCCTGTTGTTGATGTCCTGATGGAGCAGGGTGAGACCTCAAAGTCTTTGCGTAAGGCTTGTTCAAATCCCCTATCGCTGGGGTCTTAGGGTAGCCTATCTACATCCACAGGAGGTCAAGTTGAGGGTCAAGCTAGGCCTGGGATCATCCACCATTGGCACCTGGAGTCCCTCTGGCATCAGGAAATAAAGCTTGGGAAAACACCTGATGGTTAGCGTTTAGCTTAAAAGGGTGTTCCCACTCTGCCTTCATCCTACTCTAAAAGGCTGTGGGCAGTTAGAGGAACAGAGGAGGCTTGCTGTTGCCTGCCTCAGCGTAGCGACCCTGGACTTCCTTGGTGATCTCCCACCAAGTACTAACCAAGACTGACCCTGCTTAACTTCTGAGATCTGACAAGCGTGGCTGAGCCTGGCATCCCTGCCACCGGAAGTTCTGGGTCAAGATCATCCTTTTCCTTAGGTCTGGAGGAACTTCTAAGTACTTGGAAAGTAATCTCATGTACAGCTCTAGAAGGAACAGCCAAGACTGTACTGGTGGTACTACTTCCTCTCCTTCCTCCGGCCATTCCCCTTCTACCCTATCTGAGGAGGGAACTGGAGAGTCTGAGTCCTTCCTGGACTTTTTGCAGCCATCGAGTCACGGACCACTTATGGTGACCCTGTGGGATTTTCAAAGCAGGAGATGTTCAGAGATGGTTTGCCTTGCCTGCCTCTGTGTCACGCCTCTGGTATTGTTTGGTGGTCTCCCATCCAAATACTGACCAGGGCTGACCGTGCTTCTTTGGTGAGCTCGGGCTATCCTGGGCTTTCCTTGCTGCCTCTGTTTCCTGGTTCTCCACAAAGTCTTGCGGGGACTGCGAAGCTTATGAGCTAAAACTCCCCCCAGTCTGTCACAGCCCCTCTCTGGCAAACAGCGGAGGAGGCGGAAGTGCTGTCAAGCAGCAGCCCCGTATGGTTTTCAAGGCCAGAGACAGCCAGAGGTGGAGGAGAGCCAACCAGGGCTGGCCCTGCTTCACTCCCAAGGTCCAATGAAACTGGGCGAGCCTGGGGCATCCAGGCCAGGGCTGCTGCCGTTCCCTGCCTCCGCGTAGCGACCCTGGACTTCCTGGGTGGTCTCCCATCCAAGTGCTAACCACGGCTGACCCTGCTTAGCTTCTGAGATCTCTGCAGGTCAAGCTAGCTTGGGCTATCCAGGTCTGGGCACAGGGAACTGGCAGGTCTGACTTGGCAGTCAGTTTCTGTTAGCTTGCCTGGGAGTGAAAGCAAAAGTAAGTCTGCCACGAGGGTCCGGGGAACCAAGATGGCCACAGCCATTTCCTCCACTCTTCCATGGCCTTCCCTGGGCCTTTTAGCTCCCTGTCTGCTCCATGGGGAAGAAGAGAGTGGGGTGGGGGAGGGCTTGTTAATCTGCTCCAGCCTGTCCCAGGTTGGGGAGGTTGGAAGCTCTAGAAATCAACTTCCCCTTCTTCCTCCCTGGGTTTCCCCCAGTCTCCCACCCTGCCCTCCTTCGTCCCCGGTCTAGGTTTTCTGGCCCCATAAGGATTAGGTAGGAGCAAAAAGGTCATAGTGCTGGGGAAGGAGATACTGCGGCTCCAAATGGCTCAATCAAGTGAGCCAAGGCACAAAGGACTTCCCTGCCTGTGCAAACTCCTGAAACTATGATAACCTTAACTGTTGTGAGCCCGCTTGCAGGGAGAGCAGGATATAAATGATAAATAAATAGGATTGTACAAAAGTGTCAGGTGGAAGGAATCTTACCTGATGGTCCCGGAGGCCCCATCTCGCCTTTTTCTCCCTTCTCACCAGGAGCACCATGGTAGCCTGAAATAGGACACCAGCATAATGTCTGACAACCCCCAAGAGCCTGCAAGAAGACACAGCTTACCACTACGGTAAGGCAGGCAAGTAACTGAATGCAACACCCAACAGAGAGCCCAGAATCACTCTGGTACTGCTAAAGTAGAATTGCAGATATGAAATGCCTTGCAAGCATGCACTGAATTCCAAACTGAGGCCCAGTACAGCAACACATTTTAAATAAGAAGAAATATAATTATTTTTAAAAACTTCTGGACAGGAACACTGAACCCAGCACACTGCTGACACTAAACCTTAATGCTGAAGAAATGTTAATGGCTACTTAAGAGGTTTCTAAGCACCCAGAAAGGCATGTATTTTGCTCTTTCCTCTGCTGATTCATCCATCAGCACATGTAGGGCATAGTGTAGGCCAATTCATACATTTCCATTTTTAAATCCAATTTCACTGCCTCTTTCATTTGCAAGAGAGTAACCTCTGTAATTTGATGGAAAAGGCCATCCCATCCCACCCTTTCCTTTAATCCAGCTCCTTACCAGGCAGGCCTGGAGGTCCAGGAGGGCCCATCTCACTAAATGCCTGAAAGTTTAAAAATAACATTGTAATGAAATGTGTGACTCCAGCACCCTTGAGATCACCACATTTCTGGCCCCAATCACAGTGTACCCCCATTTTTCCCCAGTAAATGAAATGCACATGGGCCATTACTCACATTATTGTCATAAACAGGAACTATACTGCCTGGAGGTCCTGGAGGCCCGGGTGGTCCAGGGAGACCTGGAAGACCCTAGAGAGAGCAGGACAGATGCAAGAATCCAGTTAATTTGTAAGGGCTATTGGGGCCCAAGAGAATGTTAGGTTTCTTTCACTTACCATGAAGCTTCCTTTCTCAGTGGTTCAGGAGTGGGACAGTCCGTACAGCTGGGATAAGCTCCTCCTCCAATTGCTGGGTCAGCTCCAAGCTTTGATCCAGGTGGGGAGGCCTAAACTCACTGTACCCCATCTGGACACCACTAGAAGGAAGAACACCTCTCCAAACCGGATAAACTATCACATCATATAAAACTGGAACACAACCATTAACATAACACTCAGAGAACCTAGCTAGGGAATAACCAAGTGTTGAAAACTGAAGGAACCGAGGGCAAAAAACCTCCTTTGCCTTATATTTTCATTAAGGTTCCAAACTTTGCAACACTCCATGCAAATCAGTGAAGCAAACCCACCTCAAAACTGGGTGGGCCGGACTGTCCCACTCCTGAACCACCGAGAAAGGAAGCTTCATAGTAAGTGAAAAAAACCTTCCATTCTCCAGTGGTTCAGATCGTGGGACAGTCTGTACAGTTGGAACACAGAAAAGCAGTCTGCCCCAAGGGAGGGAATTAAGCTTGTTGCGTGTTGGCGTGTTGCAAGACCCTACGGCCGAAAGCCGTCTCTGCCAATTTGTCCACTCTATAGTACCTGGTGAATGAATGGACAGAATACAATGTGGCTGCTCTACAAATGGCCTCCAGTGAGGGAAACAAATGATAGGCCACCAACGTTGCAGCCCCCCTTAAGGAATGAGCCACAATCCCATCTGGTGGCTGCAAACCCTTGGCCCTGTACACCAGAATGATGCACCCCTTAAACTTAAGGTAGAGGTGGAAACTTGTTCTCCCAGAGAAGACTTCCTGAATGACACGGAAAGCGTTTCTGATTTCCTAAACATCTTAGTCCTATCAATATAGAAGCTAAGAGGCCTCCTCACATCCAGGCAATGCCATTCCCTCTCTTTATCATGAGTGGGATTTGGGCAGAAATTGGGGAGAATCACTTCCTCTGACCTATGAAAAACCAAATTCACCTTAGGCATAAAGGCGGGATCTAAACGAAGAACCACCTTGTCTTTGTGGAATACACAAAGTTCCCTATTGACTGACAGAGCTCTAAGTTCAGACATCCTACGTGCAGAGGTGATGACCACCAAAAATAAAGTCTTGAAAGTCAATTCCTTAAGTGGACATGAGGCCATAGGTTCAATACAGCCCTCAACACTGTATTCAAGTTCCATGTAGGAAATCTATGTATCTGTGGAGGATTAAGGAGGGAGGCACCTCTCAGGAATCTTTTAACATGAGGGTGGAGCAGAAGTGACCTCACACGCCTGACTCCCTCAACAGCAGAAATGGTTGAAGCCTGTCTTCTCAGAGTGCTAGTCCTGGGACCTTTGTCTAATCCATCCTAGAAGAAACGCAGAATGGCCTTTACCAAGGCTTTAAGGGGATCTAACTTATTCTCAATATACCAGGAGTGGAAGACTTGCCAAGTGGCATTGTAGATACTATTAGTGGATTTCTTTCTGGTTGCTAACATGGTTGAAACAACCTTGTCAGAATACCCTACTCCCACTAGCACTTCCTGCTCAACCTCCAAGCTGTGAGCCTGGACATTTCCAGTTGTGGGTGTTGTGCCATGCCTTGCACTAACAAGTCTTCCTGAACGGGAAATTGCCAGGGTTCCATTATCTAACTTTTTTAGATCTTGAAACCATGCTCTTCATGGCCAAAAGGGAGCTATCAGCACCATCTCTGCCTTCTGCTGGTGTATTTTCTGAATCACCCTGTGCAGGATTTGTATTGGTGGGAATGCATATAGTAGCCCTTGCGGCCATTTGCAATTCAGAGCATCTGTTCCTCTGGCCTGGTCATTTCTCATTCTGGAGAAAAGGTCCGGAACTTGACGGTTTGACTCCGTCGCAAACAGATTCATAGTCACCCTTCCAAATCTGTCGCAGATTTGAGTAAACACTTGCTTGTTCAGTTCCCACTCTGACTGGTCCAATCTTCTCCAACTTAACCAATCTGCCAGCACGTTGTGTTTCCCTGCCACGTGCGTCGCTGTCAAGGACAACAGATGATTCTCTGCCCAGGTCATTAACTCAGACGCTTCATTGTGCAAGGTCAACACTCTGGTTCCTCCTTGACGGTTCACATAGGCCTTTGCCATCATATTGTCCATCTGGACAAGCACATGTTGACCTGACAACTGCCTGCTGCACCAACCTGACAACTGCCTGCTCAACCTCGAAAGGCCCAACTTTATCACCCTAATTAGTTGGTGCTTCTCATAGTTTAGTTTCTTCCTGGAATCATTCGCCCTGTACCATTTGCCCTCCTGAGTGGGCACCCCAACCTGAGAGGCTTGCATCCGTGATCATCAGGACCCTTGGGGGGGGGGTCTCTTAAAGGAGATCCCTGTCTGAACAGACACGGATTCAGCCACCATTTTAGCTGCAAAGGTACTTTCTCTGGTAGTTGTAACACCTTGAACCTCTTGTGCGCAATCGCCTCCTGGTAGGGGAGCAGGAATCTCTGCAGAGGTCTGGCGTGGAACCGAGCCCATTGCACAACCTCTTGGCAGAACACCAACATTTCCAGAAGGATTGGTCTTCTTTATTGTGAGTTTTGCTGTTATGTGGTCCAGGCTGCCACTTTGACTTGAAAGACCTGGAGTAGGAGGACTTCTGTCCTCTCTTCTGGTCACGAAAGGGCTGAAATCTCTTTCTAGACTTACTATCTCTCTTTTTGGATGGAAGGACTTTTTTCTTATTTTTGTCCTCTACCAAATACCTATCTAAGCCCTCCTCAGGGACTGACGCCACCTTCACTTGTGCCGAGGAATCTACATCCCAATGACAGAGCCAGTTATTTCTACGTGCCACCACACTGCATGCCCTAGCTGAAAGTTGGAGAGCATCTGCAGCGAAAGCAACTGCCAGCGCAATCTTCTTCAATTCATCTTTGAACTCTTTCGGTGCATTACTTCCCGCTGAAGCTAGGTTTTTCTGCCCACTCATAAGCGGCTCTGGCGAATAGGGACCCTGCAGTGGATGCTCTTAGCAAATAAGAAGAGGCCTCAAAATTTCTGCGAAGCGCCTACTCTATATGCCTGCCACAGTGATCCTTTGGCATCTCATCTGCCTCCATGTGCAATACCAACCCGGAAGCCAGGCTGGTAACTGGATCATCCACTATAGGTAGTTTCAATTTTGGGGGGGGGGGGGGGTGGGGGATTTTTTAATTTGCTTTTTTTAAAAAATCAAAACAAATTAGGGAGGGAATCTAATACTATAGGAGAAAGAAAATAAAACCCACTAAAAACCCAAGAGCTGGAGGTCATACATTGCTTATAACAGTATTAGCTTAACAATATAAAAGTTGCTTTTCTTGACACTGAGAGTGGTCAATCGTCATCATCAATTATGTAAACAAACCATCAAGTCTGACTGTATAGAGAGCATTACAGGAGAATCGCTAATTCACCTATAAACAAATTTCGAAGAACAGTGGCATCTCATTTTACAATTATTTTTCCCTCCTTCATTTAAAGCAAATTAATAATCATATTTCCCTCAGTAAATATAACACAATCAATTTCTCTTCTCTCGCTGTTATCTTCACTCTTCTTAAACATTTTCCCTGTGGTGTTTTCTTGCTGGAACTGGAACTGGTAATCTCAGAACAAAGTCCCTTTTTCTTTTTCAAGGACTGTAATCTACTTAAATTCGTGCCTTCAATCTTGGGGATCATTCCATTTATTGCTTTTAAAAGCCAAACTCTTGCCCGTCAGACTTTTTCGAGTATGTCCATGGCATACCCATCGCTTACAGCTTCGCTTAGTCGTCTATATACAGGCCCCAACACTTAGTCTTACTATTAGACTCTCCTCTTTAATATTGGAAGTCCCTGTGATCAAAGGCTAGTCGCTTCTCCAATGTGAACACAGTCCTTTGAAAATAGCAGCCAACGTATAACACAGTTCTTGTGAAGTAACTTGTTTTTGCCAACAGAGGGCAAAGACTTAACTTGCAGCCTGAAAGAGTCTATGGTTGTTTTGGTCACATGGGCCAGCTGCTCTTCAACTTTCTGAAGGAAGCTTGGATCTCGCTCACTGCTTCTGCTGCCTCGCCGATCACCATTTTTAAGCATGTTTACTTTTTCCAAAATTTTGCCCAAACACTTGTTTAACTCCCGGGGTCTCTCTACTACAGTCTATTGCCGTTTAAAACTCCGTCCCCATTGCAGTGGCTTTTCTTTTTTTGCTTATTTTGTTCTTTCCGGGGGAGAGTCCCCCCTCCCCCCTCACTTTAGTAAACGGGGACTCGCTCATTTTCTGATGTTCTAGCTTTAGCAGACTCACTCTTCAACATCTGATCACTCGGATCTTGCCAGGTAAGTATTTTAACGCTGTACCTCCAAGCGCTTGTCCCGGTGTGTGTAGCTTAGTCCCATTCGGGAACGCAGTGCAGAGACCTTCAGGGCAAAGGGAAGCCTCAATCTGCTGGCAGCGTGTCTGCAGAGAAGCGACCCTCAGCACCCCATGGCAAGGGACTCATCACACGAGTCCCAGAGGGGTGCGTACATTGGCACCCCCTCTCAGTGCGCTGGTCCATGAATCGTCCCCCAGGAGCGCCCTGGGGAAATGGCCACCATCAGTCCACCAAAACCAGACTCCCTCATTATATTATAAACGTTTGCTGGGAGAGGCAACTCTAACTGAAAGTTTTGGCATCAATTTGCCTGACCCCAACTGGAACTCTGACTCCTGTTCTGTAGCATCCTTAGGCTTGGATGTGAGGTCTAATGTTCTGAGTACCTTAGGAAGGAGTCTAGAATATAACTCTTGGGGGGGAGCCTGGATTGGACAGAAGGCATTACTTCCTCCTCTTCCTCTGACAACTTCCCTTCCTCTTTCTCGGGGGAAGATACTGTAGACTCTGACTCCACCTCCCTGTTTTTTTAGGAG